ATATAGGACAAGCCTGAAGCTAATACCATACTCATTGGTAAAAGATTGAAAGCTTTTGATCACATACAAAGGCTCCACCCTTCCATTCCCCCCTTTACATTTCTGATGTCACAGTTCACTTCTTTTTATACTGTGTTTTCTTTAACGGATTACAGTAGTTACAGTTATGTCTAATACTCATTCCTTTCGTCTTTATACTTCAGGTAAGTGGTTAACACACCATCCTGTTACAGAATTAGAGTTTTCTAAATCATTTGCCTTTACCAGCATGTTGTATATTTCAACATGTTTCTATGTCACTATCTAGCATCTTTTCATTTCAGCTGGAAGAAATCCTTTCAGCATTTCTTGCAAGGCAGCTCTAGTGGTGAAGAACCCCCTCAGCTTCTGTTTCTCGGATGAAGTCTTTATTTCTCCTTCATATCTGAAGGATAACTTTTCCAGATAGAGTATTCTGGGTTGGCAATTTTTTTTTGCTTTCAACACTTTGAGTTGTCATTCTGCTATCTCCTGGCCTGTAGAGTGACTACTGAAAAATCTTCACGTAGCCTAATGGGGTTTCCTTCGTAAGTTACTGTCTTTTTTCCTCTGGCTTTTTTTTTATTCTCTCTTTTTCTTTGATTTTTTAACAATTTCATTATAATGTTCTTGGGAGTCTTTTGCATTGAGATAGTAGGGTGATCTATTAGCTTCGTGAGCTTGGGTTTCTAAGTCTTTCCCAGATTTGTGAAGTTCTCAGCTATTATTTCTTTAAAGAAACTCCTGCCCCTCTCTTCTCCTGGACTCCAGCTAAATTTGTACTGTGTATATTTGATTGACTCCTTTAGGTCATGTACTTTCTTCACTTTTTTTTTTAATTCTTTTTTCTCTGTTCACCTTTGATTGGGTTATTTCAAAATTACTGTCTCCCTGAGTTTAGCTGTGGCACATGTTTTGATCAGAAATGTAGTTTCTCTTTATTCTAGTAGTTTTATAATTTGTACTAGTTCTTTGTTTCTGTTGTCATTTGTTTTTTTTTTTAAAGTTAAAATTATAAATCATGTCTAATCATACTGAATTGTAAAAATTCTACTGTATATTTATTTTAAGGAAAAATGAGAATAAAAATATCTGGTTTGTCCTGCAGAAAAAAAATTTTTTTTGCTAGCTTCCTGGTTGCTTATTATGTCCTGATCTACCCTGCAGCAGATTCTCCTGTTGCATTTTTCATTTCACTCATGGAATTCTTCAGTTCCAGAATTTGATTCTTTTTTCTGGCTTCTAACTTTTCACTAAATTTTTTCTCATTTTGTACATGTATTGTTCCCCCTGATTTCATTGAACTGTCTTCTGTGTTTCTTGTAGCTCATTGTTTTCTGAAAACAGCTATTTCGAATTCTTTATCCACTGGACTATACGATTTTATGCTTTCGAGCTCAGTTATTCCAGGAGTTTTATCTTTTTGTCATGTCATGTTTTCTTGATTTTTCCTCCTTCTTGTAGTTCTGCATTGCTGGCTTTGCCTTTGAGCAGCATCCACCTCCTCAAGTCTTTACTAATTGCCTTCAGAGAGGGTATGTTGTTTGCTGGTCCTCTTTTGTCTGGAGTTCTCTCTGACCCTGTGTGTATACACTCCACCTTCCTTGCTCCCTCTTGTAGCAGAATTCTTAAGCTTTTATGTCTTCCCTGGTTATAACTCACCTGACTGGCTGCTGGAAACCTCTCTCGTTTTCCAGAAGGTAGTGCTATAGCTCATCTGTATTTTCTGTCTTGCCCACAGATCTGGTCTGTTTTTCTGATAACACTCCGTTTCCCCTACTAACTCTTGCTGCCAGTCTCTGAGTGTGCTCAAGGTGGCACTGCAGAGGGAGGGGAGGTGTGGGTTTAGCACTTGGGGCATTAGGGGTCCCCACCAGCTGGTGGGGAGACCCTGGGCTGAGATCCTCCCAGAAGCTCTTAAGTGGATTTCCTGTTGAAGCCCTGAGCACAGACAGCAGGAATCATGTCCCTTTAATGCCTTCTGATATTCTTATCAGCCTTTCCTGATCACCTCCTTGCCCCTAATCATGGAGGCTCTCCTTCAAGTACTCTGAGTATTGCTGGAGAGAAGTCAGTTTCTCTTTTAGCATCCAGCACTGCTAGGGTAGCTGGGCACTCACACACTACTCTCCTTTTTGCCTGTGGAGAGGTCACCACGGGAGAGTTCGGTCTCTTACTGTGTCAATTTGTGGGAAGGGGAAGAACTGGAAAACTCCCTCACCCTCTCTGCTGCATCCAGACTCGTGTGTGTGTGTGTTTCCCTCCAGTGGTGCTCTAGTCACCCCTAGGGGGCTGTGCTGTTACAGGTTCTCTCTCATCAGTGGGTATTTGCCCAAATCAGCACTATCCGGCTTTTCCCCAGTCATGACTGGGAGGTGTTGGGGCAGGTTTGCTGGCTCTGTTGATTCTGCAGCCCAAACCAAGGTCTGTCTATTACTAGAGGAACAGGTAGGCGAGACTCCTCCCCAGTTCCTTGATGTATGTTATTAGATCACACACTCCCACAGGGGCACTCTTGTTTGTGCATATAGCCCTAATTAATCTTTTTAAAAGGGAAGACAAACAGTAAGGATGTCTTACACCCCCATGATGTTGACACCACTCCCCTGTCACTGTGTTTCTATTTTTGACTACTCTTATTTTGACTATTTGTGTTTTCTATTTCCTTCTCTAGTCTTTTCTTTGTACCTATAATTTATATCTATTTTATTCACATCACTGTCATTTCAGTGGGGGTTTCAGAGAGAAAGGGGGATCATAAACACACACGTTCAACATGCTGTGTTCAGATTGACAGAACCTTTTTGGGTACAATTTGGAATGTATAAAACTTCAAAATTCCTGTGCCCTTTGACGCAGCTGTTCTATTTTTAAATAAATAAACTGCATAATTAATTCTGCATCCGCATAAAGAGATGTATACAAGGACATAATGATATTGACTCTAGCACTGATCATAATAGTAAAAAATTGGAAACAATTTATATGCCATCAACAAGGAAAAGGTTATATATACTTTGATGTCTGTATTGCAGAATAATACCCAGCAGTCAAAAAGAATGCTGTTGACAAATCCTGAAATCTCTCTAAGACATATTTTTAAATTTAAAAAGCAAATATGAGTCATATATGATCCCACTTATATTCCTGAAAACCCCACAAAACTATATATTTTGATTCATACTTACAAGTGAATATAGATTATGGACGGATTTGCTGATGTCAGTCTTGAGTCCTGTTGGATTGACCATGCCCTCTGACCCAAGGCCAGGCATATTTCAGCGTACTCAGCATAACTAGAAAGGGGGATCTGTTCCCTCAGAGGCTCTCATTCTATTGAGCACATCATACAACGATCACCACTGGACCCGCTACGCCCAGTGATCATCAACAGAAAGGTTATTTTCTTCTCTCACCAAGGCAGGGCTTAAATAACTCCCCTATCAATTAACCTCATGAGGTGATTCAAAAATGCCTACCCTAGCTTTCAATCTGTGACTGTATGTTAGCTATTGCTGCATAACAAACTGCAGATCTTCCTCAATTTACAATGGGACTAGGTCCCAATAAACCCATTGTAAGCTAAATACATCCTTAGTCAAAAATGCATTTAATACCCCTAACCTGTGGAACATAGTGGCTTAGCCTAGTCTACCTTAAATGTGTTCACAACACTTAAATTAGTTTGCAGTTGGGCAAAACCACCTAACGCAAAGCCTATTTTATAATAAAATGTTTACCGTTTCATGGAATTTATTGACGGCTGTACTGGAAGTGAAAAACAGAATGGCTGCCTAGGCTCAGAATGGTTCTAAGTGTGTTGGTTGATCGTGTGGCAGACTGGGGGTACAAATCACTGCCTCTGCCCAGCATCAGGAGAGAGGATTGTGTTGCATGTTGTTAGCACAGGGAAAGGTCAAAATTCAGAATTAGAAGCATGGTTTCTGCTTGGATGCATATTGCTTTGACTCCATTGTAAAGTTGAAAAATTGTTAAATCTAGCCCTTATAAGTTGGGGACCATCTCTACCCCCAAAACAAAAACACATATTAATTATCGCCCAGTTTCTGGAGGTTAGGAGTCTGTACTTGGCATAGCTGGGTTCTCTGGTTCAAGGTGTCCCACAAGGTTGCTGCAAAGCCAAGGTTCTGGACACCTCAAGGCTCCAACAGGGAACGACTTGCTTCAAAATGTTAAATTCCAGTAAAGTACCATTACTTATTGCAAAAGTAATCTCAATGAGGTATAGGATACTTAAAATCTAGCTAGGCAAAATAAAATTGCAAATACACAGACACATATTCATGCACTTCCAAGCTCACTTACATGGCTGTTGGTACAATCCAGTTCTTTGAAGACTATTAATAAGAGGCCACTCTTAATTCCTCACTTTGTGGGTCTCTCTGTAGCCCAGCTCATAGCATGGGAACTGACTGAATCAGAGCAAGCAAGTGAGAAAAGTTAGAGAGCTCATGAGTAAGTTGGAAGTCAGGCTTAGGTTACCTAAGCTTCAGGTCATCTATCATTTTTGTTGGAAATAAGTCACTAGGTCCAGCCCTGGAAAGGAAGGGCTTGCACGAGAGTATGAATACCAAGAGGTGAGAATCATCTTAGAAGTTGCCTACAATTTATGACTAAAAGGTAATTCAAGGGGTTGCAGGAGCAAATTCAGAGGCAACGATTTTTCTGGTATAAGCAATTGGCATCTACACACAGTTACTTCTCATAGATACTAAATAATATTTTTTTCTTTTTTTAATAGTAAAAGAATTCCATACACTCTTTACCCACATTTGCCATTTGTTGAAAATTACATTTTGAATACATTATGTAATTTGTCACAAGGGAAGGCAATATTTGTAACCACAAAAGCTTTGGGGTCTGGTGAGAGGCGTGCGCCCTGTTCTGGAATCATATTTGCTCTCTGCATATGTAGTTCTCATCTCTCGGATGTTCCCTTCTGTCTCCTCCTCTTCCTCCAGAGAATCCTGAGCGGGCAGCTCTGTACTTTGTCTCTGGCGTGTGCATTGGGCTGGTCCTCACTCTGGCTGCCTTGGTGATCAGGATCTCTTGCCACACAGACTGCCGGCAGCATCCCCAGAAGAAGTTCGTGCAGGACGGAGAAAGCAGCGACTGCAGCGACAGCGAGGACGGCAGCTCAGACGCGGCATCCGATGCCTCGGTCAGGAGACACCGCCGCTTCGAGAGGACTTTGAACAAGAACGTCTTCACCTCGGCAGAGGAGCTGGAGCGCGCCCAGCGGCTAGAGGAGCGGGAACGCATCATCAGGGAGATCTGGATGAATGGCCAGCCTGAGGTCCCCGGCACCAGGAGCCTGAACCGCTACTACTAGGAGCAGACAGGGGCCCGCACCGCCCTGGAAGCCTCCTGGAAGAGAAGGGTCCACAGGGGCGGTGAGCGCAAAGGGCTGCGCGCAGTTCTGCTACTCTGGCCAGAGGCAAGCAGGACACTCCCATTTTCCAGCCAGGAGGACTGGCTTCTCTCTTCTGACTAAACTTAAGGGAGAAGTAGAAAAGCGGAGGTGGTTCATCTCTCCAGGTCTTGTAATGGTGCTGAAAACCCTCACCAACAATGTGCATGGAGATCAGAAAAACAACTGTGGTTCTCTTTGAATTCTGAGGATCTCAGAAGCTTCTGCAGACTTCACTGTTATATGTTATTTCTTTACAAAAGGAAATATAACATGAGTGCGAGGAAGAGCAGGGTTGACTTAACCCAGTGAATGCAATTTTCTTAATGACTCCATGCTATGGAGATGATTTTGATCCACACAGCATGATCCATGCATATTATTTAAGTCTGATTCTTTAAATCTCGTGTTGCAGTGACAACCTCGTCCATTTTAACTGGCACCTCAGGGATTAAAATCCTATATTTTTAATTACAGTTCCCACTTCTCATGAAAATTAATAATGTATTAGAGATGTGTCAGTGAAATAGAAAAGTGTAAATAACCTCAAAAGATGAAGGGTTTTATGTTAAATAGCTTATAAAGAATATATTAAGATACATACTTGAAAATGCTGCACAAGAATAAAAGCTGTGTTTTTCCCCCTTTTGGAGAGAAAAAAATTTTGTGATGACTCTAGATAATTATGATTTTAAACATTTTGTTAAAAAATATTTTTGGATTTTTAAGAGAAGAATGGGAATGGGAGGTAAGGAATAAAGCCAAATTAGGTTGGGGTGAAAAATAAATGTTACATAAAATCTTTTTTGTTTCATGTTCATCTCTGCTGTTACACTTACCTTAAACAGCAGCCCTTTTATATAGATGGGTATGGTTTTGTTTGTTTGTTTTTTGTTTTTTGCCAGGCCCTTCAAGTAACTGGAGAACTGTGAGCAATGGAGAAACTGGAGAATGGAGAAATGGCCCCTACGTGATGAGATGTGATCAGACCTCTACGTAATGTTTCACTTTCTGTGTGCATATGTTATGGCTACAGTGTATTTGAGTGATTGTTAAGCAGATAGAGGAATAGATGATTACCCGAGGGCAGACATAATATGATGGCCTCATACGGAGAGGGGACGTTGGTAAGGAAGGAAGAGAGGCAAGGCTGAACCGCGTTTGGAAATGAGTTGCAGAGGAGGAAGGAGCATCCTCCAGCCTGACAGGCAGGAGTAATGAATTCTGTCCGTCTGTTGGCACCCTGCTCTTGCGGCGCAGTGGGCTCCTTTGTCTGCCTCTCTGGATGCTCCAAAGCCTTCCTGTTGAATTTCCTCTGTTCATTGACTTTGTCATCATACCTGAGAGGATGGCTGGGAGAGTTTCTCTGCTGGAGTTCTATTATTTTAGCAGCCCACTCTTAGCAATAAGGGTTTGGAGGCTGTCTTAAGATTGAACGGTCACAAATACCTCTTTCCCAAATCTTGTTAAATCAGTGTTTCTGAATCTGGATTCCCATCCTTGTAGTTTCAGTCCGTTGGCAACAAGTGCGGGAATCATCCCACTCCCCTAGGCTTTATCTTAACATCATCCATCTTCGTCTCGGCCTCTATTTTTAAATTGAAATATAGTTGATTTTTTATCATTGTATTAGTTTTAGGTATACAGCATAGTGATTCAGTATTTTTGCTGATCATACTCCATTGAAAGTTATTACGAGATAATGGCTGTAATTCCCTGTACTATATAATATATCCTTCTTGCTTATCTATTTTATTCCTTTCAACAAAGGTTGATGGAGGATGAGGTAGATATTATAACGTTGAACAAAACAATCTCTCCTGGAGCAGTTTATGATTAGCTGGAAAAATAAGACACTGGTAAACTGGTACCAGTAACTATAATGTCAGAATTTAATACCTCGTAAAAAAAAAATAGTTGTAGCCAGGTGCATTTTTTTCAGCAAATGTGCTCTGCTTGTGCACAAAGATTTAAGTTAGCATCTCTGCCCTACAGGGCACCTCTGGTTGGTGGAGGAAATCAGAGCCTCTGTCCCAAGGAAGCAAGGATTGTTTTTCTGGTTTGAAGCTGCAAAGAGTTTAAAGCAGCAGAGAACACATGATCTAATCCTTAAAGAACAGGCAGGATTTCTTTGGGAAGAAGGGAGGGGTCAGCATCCCAGAGCTCAGCGCTCGGCTTGAACATCTGTGGCAGAAATAAGGGAGGCTCTGAGCCGGCCAAGACCCTGGGATGGGGCCTCTGCAGGGACCGACTTCCTCAAGCACCTTCCATCACCTCGTGAGAGATCACCACAAACTTAGTGCCCAAACCTGAAACTCTTGTGTGATCTTTAAAAGAACGGCAGACGGCTGCATTTATCTTAGTCACCCTGTAATAGTAAAGAACAAAACTGATTGTATTAAATCTGTTCCTTTAGCTTTAACTGCTGTGCCCTGTTTCCTAGGCTTAGTCTCACTAGCTCTGCACTCACGTGAAGAGAACAAAGTTGCAGAATAGAGAATAACATTTGTTTTGTTGGAGATTTTACAGGAGCACCATGAGCTGGCTCATGCGGACAGCTGCAGGAACAAAGAATTCCTGCAGCAAGAAGTTTGCAACGACCTACCACACCCGCTCCCCTGTTTTTTTTTGTATAAAAGGAGCCTGTATTCTGACTGGACCAGGATGGTTCTCCAAAATTAGTCCTCTCTGTCTGCTGGCTTTCCAAATAAAGTCACTATTCCTTGCCCCAGCACCTTGTCTCCCCATTTACTGGCCTGTCGTGCGGTGAGCAGAATGAGTTTGGACTCAGCAACAACCCCAAATCAAAACTTGAGCAGGCCAGATATTTACCAGTGAAGAAAGAGCTGCGGCCTCTGGGGTGTTGGTGGGGAGTTAGGGAGATGGGGCTACGCTCTCCCCACCCCTCGTCTCTCTTTCTTTCCTTCTTTGTCAGTCTTTTTAGAGCCTGACACCGAAAAACAAGCACGGCCCGGCCGGCTACTATTTCAGCCTGTGGGAGCCACGTCAGGAGGTCGGCCTGCCCCGGGCTGAGGACTGTGTGGTGAGGGGTCGGGGCCCCTCTGGGAGGGCAGTGTTGTAGGCGGGACTGACGTGCAGCAGGCGCGAGGAGCAGGAGCAGCCCCCACCATCGCCTGGGCCAGGTGGGCCGCGGAGTCCATTCAAAGACGCAAACAAGCAAAGAGCAGGAGCTAGAAGGAGTTTGGTGGGTTGAGGGGGAGGGCGTGTTATTATTTTACTTTTGTTTTTCTTTTCAAGGGAAGGAACCACGTGAGATTCCTCTATTGACACTTGGGTGTGATCTTGGCCGGTATAAGAGCCGTGGGCATTCCTGGAGCTTTTCCAGTAAGTATGCTCACTCTCTGCACTGCCTTTCCACTTCTTAAAGAAATTTGTCATAAATGTAATTCCCAGGGTGGAAGTTTTAGAACCTTGAAAGAACTTTCAGAACTTTGAAGCGCAAAACTGCTTGACTCTCCTGTATTACACTCCCAGCTGCACAGAGTGGGCATCGGGGCTCAGGGCACCCAGCAAGTTTGTGGGGGAAAATATTAACCTTCTGCCTGATTAAGAATCAACAAGCCCCTCAGGCCTTGCTGCTTATGAGTTGTTTTGGGAACACTGTGGAATGTGGGTTTGGAGTCAGATAACTGAGTCTGGATCCCCGACTTGCAAGGATTTGGCATGGCCCCTGGAGCCCTCCTGAGAAATGGGCAGGTGCCCAGGTGCCCTTCTGCTCTGTCTCATTGGATCCTGGTGTCAGCCTGCATGGGGGAGGGGATGCTGGCTTTGTCCCCTGAGGCTTACAGAGTACCAGGGCTCACCCCAGTGCAGAGCTGACCACAGGGCTTGTGAGCTCTGGGGGCTGTCTAGTGCTTCAGAGGTCTCAGTGTGTTCCACGTGCTGCAATGAGGATGCCACCGGAGCCCAAATGAGCCTCCAGCCCCCGGGCACTCCTGGCTGTGGCCACACACAGGGACCTTCTCTGGGAAGGGGCTCAGCTTGGAGGGTGTGGAGGCTGGGGTTAGGGGAGGCAGTGAGTTCCACAAGGACCATGCTTCTGGGCCGGCCAGGTGGGAGGGCTTCAGAAAGTTGGCTGCACATCTTTCTCAGTCTGGGCTGAAGTCCTTGATATTTGGCTCTCAGAAGGAAGCTCAGAAAGTGGTCTTTTCTAAAGTGTCACAGTTTCTAAGCAGACTCAGACCTGGGTGCAGACCATCTGCATCTTGGGCCTTTACTCTTCTTCAAACAACCTCAGAACAGGTGGGCTTGCTTTCCTTGGCAAAAGTGACTCAGGGACAAGCGTGCATCTAACTCGCGCGTGCGCGCGTGCGTGTGTGCGCGCGTGTGGGACCAGGGAGGAGAGAGGTATGTTCCCACGTGGGATGGAAGTGGAATAAAAGTGACATTTTTCACTGTGCAGAATGTGACTTTAAGCCAACGTGACTGTAGTTTTATGGGACAGAAAGTTCTGGGCCACTGTTTGAAATGCGCTCATGCCACAGACTTTGAGGAAGCGTGGCTTCTTAGCCCAAGTGAAAATGATGTGGTTTAACAGAAAACGTGACCCAGAACAAGTACATCAAACGGCCAGGAGAACACGTGGGTCAAGGACTCCTGGAAGCTTTAGAGACAGGCTTAGAGTCACACCCCCCACGTTTGCTGCATGAAGGTGAGTCTCTGTCTGAAGAGTACGTCAGAGTCCTTTTTGATGTCCTTGAATGAGTAAGGCTGTGGGGCCCAGGGTCAAGGTTACAACAACGTGCTTGCAGTATGTAGTAAATAATGATTGTACACAGGTACTGGTTATATAAGTTGTTGAACAAAGAAAGTAGAAGTACGCATGCGCTAGTAGTGTTCTGTAAGCCTCATGAATAAAAAAAGACACTGCGCATGTGCAGGCAAAACGTGTAAAAGCAGGACAAGTGCGCCAAGGAGCTTGCGCACCACCTTGTGGCAAGAGAATGAAGTGCAGTTTCGCTCCATGTCAGCTCCTGGTGCAATCTGTTTCGCGGTATGGCGGCTTCTCATGCATTTTTCCGGTTGGGCCGCTCACCTCAAATTCCACTTCAGCCTTCCTCGGCTGACACTTGGTACTGTGAGCAGGATGAGTTGAGTGCCCCCTCTGAGCCCCCCTACCCCTGACGGGGATACTCAGATGGAAACTATATGGCCCCCTACCTCCATATGGTACCTGGTGCCAACCTATTTGCTGGCATGGGCTCAACCTAAGGATTGGGACACAATGGCACCCCAGCCAGATGACGTCCAGAGGACACTAGAATTGTTAGAAAATAATGTCCCATTAGCCCACCAAGAGGCAACCAAAAGGGTGGCCTAAATGTTCTTACCGGTTTTGCAGCATGCTAGCCAAAACATGAGAGAATTGCAGACAAAAATGGAGCAGTTATAGCACAAAGAAGAGGAACTCAAGCAGAAACTCAGCACAGCAAAAAGGTACCCACATGGTCCTAGCTCCACCGCCTCAGAGCAATTAGATCTGCACAATTCCAGTCCCACCATCTCCAAAAGCAGTAAAACCCCCATTCTACTGCATCTACTGCCCGTGGTGAGGCAATGGGTGAAACTGGCTTGGGGGAACTCCTACAGGGCCACGGCAGGCGACGCGACAAACCACCTATGCGCCTTAAACATCAATGGAATTGCGAAACCTAACAAAGCAATTCAAGCAACATATGGGTGAATCAGTCCCTGTGTGGCTATTATGCCTTTGGGATGATGAAGCTGACCAGGCTGAGCTATCTCCGAAGAAGGTGAGCCAGCAGCTGGCATAACAA